AAAATGAATTATTGGTGAACTTTTAATCTCGGGACTATACTGCAGAATTTCCAGAGCACATTTCATTTTGATTTTATTTTTGGCCCACTTGTAAAATCTCAAAACTTATGAAATTTTAGTTAATAGTAAATTTGTATGTCTATATTGGAAATGTTCATGCACATTAGATGAAAAATGAATTTTTGGTGATTCTTTTAGTCTCGCGTATGTATTCTAGAATTACTACCGTTAGTAGAAAGCAGCCAACCAAAACAATATTTTGTAATCAAACAATTACCTTTAATCTGAACCCTAAGCTTATTGTGTGGCTCTGATACCACATGTAAAATATTCTGAAATCACAACAACAAGACATTAGGATCATGAATATGATTAATTGAATCAATAAAATAGAGATAAACTAATTATATTGAACTTGTCTGTAGAATACGGAAGACATGACTCTCGCAGATGACATAAGAATTGGCGTATGCATAAGAATGTTTTCTACTCCCTCCAAACTATATGTTCTTGCTATGAATAGGGTTTATCACATAATATGTTAGATCCCACATCGCCCAGGGGAGTGGATCATTTATGCCTTATATGTACATGCCCACCTCCATTAGCACGAGGCTTTTTGGGAACTCGCTGGTTTCAGGTTTAATCGGAACTCCGAAGTTAAGCGAGTTCACGCGAGAGCAATCCCAAGATGGGTGACCCACTGGGAAGTTCTCATGTGAGTTCCTAGAAACAAAACCATGAGGGCGTGGCCGGGGCCTACGGCAGAATCGAGCCTGGGATGTGACAATTTGGTATCAGAGCCAATCCCTGGCCTGAAGTGTGCCGACAAGAACGTCGGGCCCCTAAGAGAGGTGGATTGTTAGATCCCACATCGTCCAGGGGAGTGGATCCTCTATGCCTTATATGTACATGCCCACCTCCATTAACACGAGGCCTTTTAGGAACTCACTGACTTCGGGTTTCATCGGAACTCCAAAGTTAAGCGAGTTCACACGAGAGCAATCCCAAGATGGGTGATCCACTAGGAAGTTCTCGTGTGAGTTCCTATAAACAAAACCATGAGGGCGTCACCGGGGCCCAAAGCGGACAATATCGTGCTACGGCGGATTCAAGCCCGGAATGTGACATAATAGAACGATTATTATGAGAGCAGAGACAATCCTTATATAGTTGTTAAAATGTCTCTCAATTAAGCCTTTTATTAAATGAGAAATACTCATAATCACAATTATATATTTTATATCCCATCATAATAAGTTTTTACTAAACAAGGATCACGTAATAAGTCAATTAGAGGTTAAGACTCTATTATTCTAACAATATTAGGTCACAAGATCACTTTGACAATCTAGTCACCTAAATAATAAGTTACTCTAGAATCATGTGATTTATTGATAAGTCATTGATACTCACAATTATGCTTAAGCCTATTATGAAGAATGCGCCATGCAATAATAGAAATAACAAGGAGGAATAAACGGATGCTACATAACCGAAGCCCAATCCCTAGTAGGGCAATGGTTTTTGCATATATGGGTAACCTTCTATAATAGATAGTTGACTTGCAATACCAGAAAGCCAATCAAGGTTGAAGCATTGGAGAGATTTGAAAAGACTCAGAATACGAGATTAGATATTGTAATTGGAGATGAACTTATCAATCATTTTTATCCTAAATCTACTTCTCACTACCTTGTCAATCTTCGCGATTCTAGAAAAAGGTGAATAACCGTAACTTACCACAAATTATTCTTTTTTTTTAAAAATGATTATTGAAAATTTTCGCAAAGATGATTTCCAAAAATTATTTTCTTGCAAATAAAGAAAAATATGTCCCAAAAAAATGAACTCTGTTGTAGGCCTATTTGATTGCGCGATCTAGGGTTAGAGAGAGAGAGAGGTGTGGCAAGCTTTAGGGAGAAGAGAGATTGATTTAATTGTGAGGTGTGTTTGATTCACCCCATTGTGCCTTTATTTATAGTAGTAGGAAGGGTAAAACCTTTCCCTTTAGGATTACAACATTTAATAGGTAATCTAGTCCTAATAGGAATATAAGATACATTCCCAGATTCCCTAGGATTTACACAATCACATTTCTATTCTAAATATGACTGCAACACTCCCCCTTGAGTGTGTAAATACTCAACAAACCATCGCATCAGATCTTCAGCAGATAAGGTAGAATAGTTGATGAAGTCATCGGCACAACGGGTGATCGCGAGTCTCAAATTTTCTTTGAAGTATGCATTTGTAAAAACTCACAAAAACCTTGCTATGGTAAAACCCAAGGAATGGGGAAAACCCATAGACTAAGGAGAAAAGTAAGAAAATATGCATAATGTATAAACGCTTGTCAAACTAGACGAAGGTAGTGAACTCATCGGAGTATGATCATCCCAGGATGGGTGCCTCATTAAAACCTCGTTAAGTAGCAAAAACCAAGTGGGAAAAATGCTCCTAATCGTGGGAAAAAGAGTACATTAAGATTGTTGATGCACAAAACCGAAGGGGTCTTAGAACAACGTAAATCCGATTTTGAATCTGCAAGAAAGTAAATAACACAAGATGTATCGTGGTTCACCCCAATGTTTGGGCTACGTCCACACTGATATTGTATTTCTCTTAGAGGATTTTGAGGGAGAGGGTGAGAGCTTCTGAGGGTGAGAGAGCTCTTCCCATGGCCTAAGAATTGACCTTTTTTAATAAGGAGACCTTTTATAGAATAAGGGCTCCTCACTTATTACATATTTGCCCCTCCATTTATTACATAATTACATTTGAGTCCCCCGAGTATTTATACAAGGTCTAAATATAGATGCCCTAAGTATGGTATTAACAGTAGTCCCCCAAGTCTTCAGTCAAGAGAGTCTTTTAGCTGGAGACTTGAAATTCAGTCCATGTGTGGGCCGAAGTAAATAGATGTCGTCTATAATTGATACTCGATATGAGGCAGTGCCCAATCTGAAATGATGCTCAACCAGAAGTAGCACATGTTGCGAGGCTGCTTTGCTTGTGGCTTATGTTGCCTTGGTTGGCTCGGCTTGTGGCGTTGAAGGTGAGGGAGTCATTTTTATACAATAAGGGCTCGCTCCTCAATACATAAATGATGGGCTGAGAGTGATGCTCACGGCGAGGCGGTTGTTCAGTAGGCAGTGATGCTCTCTAATGATGGTGAGGGGGTCCTTTTTATAAAATAAGGGCTCGCTCCTCAATACATGAATAATGGGTGTTCTCTAATGAAAGTGAGAGAGTCCCCTTTATAGAATAAAGGCTCACTCCTCAATACATAAATAATGGGTTAGAGTCCCCCAAGTATTTTTCATGAGGCCCAGTTGAGGCCCAATATATGGTACATAATGTAGTCCCCCAAGTCTTCAGTCAATAGAGTCTGTTGGTTGGAGACTTCAAATTGAATCCATGTATGGGTCGAAGTGGCGGTTGTTCGGAGGCGGTATTTGTATACCCTACACTGAAGCTTTGTAGATGAAGCTTTGCAAGTGAAGCTTTTGAAGTTGGAGCTTTTGTAAATGAAGCTTTTGAAGCTGGAACTCTCGAAGTTAGAGCTCTGTAAATGAAGATTTTGAAGCTGGAGCTCTGTAAATAAAGTTTTTGAAGCTAGAGCTCTGTAAATGAAACTTTCGAAACTGGAGCTTTTGTAAATGAAGCTTTTGAAGCTAGAGCTCTATAAATGAAGCTTTCGAAGCAGAAGCTCTGTAAATAAAGCTTTCGAAGCTGATTGACATGAGTGATGCTTATGGATGTTGACATGAGTAATGCTCATGAATGTTGACATGAGTGATGCTCATGAATGTTGACATGAATGATGGTCATGAATGTTTATGTATGATTGACATGAGTGATGCTCATGAATGTTTATGTATGATTGACATGAGTGATGCTCATGTATAATTTTGAAGTACTGGACGTACTTTTGATCACCTAGTGGGTGATAATAGCGGCAGGTTGCCGAATAATTTTGGAGTACTGGGCGTACTTTTGATCACCAATTAGTGATAATAACGGCAAGTTGCCAAATAATTTTGGAGTACTGGGTGTACTTTTGATCACCTGGTTGGTGATAAAGGCGGCAGGTTGCCGAATAATTTTGGAAGTACTGGGCGTACTTTTGATCACCTGGTTGGTGATAATAGCGGCAATGTGCCGAATAAATTTGGAGCCATAGGGCCTGGCTCTTTTGGGCATATGGGCCTTGACCCTCCACATAACATTCCAGCCCATTATTTTGGGCTTGACTTTTTTTTATTTATTTTTTATATTATTATTATTATTATTATTATTATTATTATTACCCTCTGATGAGGTTATACAGATATCTCCGAAAGATAAGAAAAATAAATTACATCATTCAAAAATAAATTTGACCCTCTGCTCAATGGGTCACGCCCATAATGCCATCACCATCGCAATTATGTCTGCTTCTTTTTATCTTCTTTTGCTTTCTGCTTTGCTTTTGCTTTTGTGGGAGTGGTTGAGCTGTCTGAGGGATAAATGCATGCTTTTTCTTTTCACCTGCAAACATACTCACATGTAGCCTTCTTTTTCTTTTTTCTTTTCACTTTCTTTTTCTTTATCTTTAACATCATAGTGTCATCTGTGAAGAGTGGGATCATGCACTCCTTCATGATGAGAGTCTTTATCTTTTTCAGAAGTTGATGCCTTTCTGAATGGCTCCAGCTATCACGTTCGAGGGCATCTTCGGAGATTGTCATCAACTTTGGGGCTGCATGAACGTGCCTGGTGGATGGATTATAAATCATGGTGGACATGTGGTTGCTGATAGTGATGAGTGGGACCCCATTAGATTGAGACCAGACCAGACGGAGAAGGGTGTCAGCATTGCGGACGGTGGTAGAGTTGAGGAGGAAGACGACAGAGAACCATGAGGCGAAGGAAACGGCCAGCGCAAGCAGCGCCGCCAGGAGCAGCCAGCGTTTGAACTTGGGCATTTCTTGCAGAGTCCAAATTCCCCTTGGACCTTAAAAGTCAGGGTATACCACAAGAAGTCGAGATTCCTGCACCACAACATCAGCATAAATTCCTAGGAAGGATAAGCAACCCTCATTAAAGGGTCGCATTTTCTGGGAATATCTGGTAACCCTTGGATTCACAAGCACAATTTCCTCCCCTTCGCCACACTCAACCACTGGAGTAAACACCATGAGCTGCTCATTAATCCCTACTTGGGGTGTCGAGAGCCCTATCCCATCGGTTCTGTGTAAAATCCGACCGTGAAGCTCATTGTCAGTGCGGCCTGTGGCAGCGATGTAGGAGTGGACAGCCTCGAGGAGGCGAAGGGCAGGAGAGGGATGCAGGCTCGGGTCCGCAGAGCCATGACCGTGGAGCTTCGGAGGAGCTTGCTGCTAGATCTGGTTCCAGAATGGATTTCTGAAAAAAAGTCAGAATCCGGAGGAGATTTTCTTTTGATCCAATGAGTTTTATCTAGTCCTGAAAAGAAATGATGTGTTGCGTAAATGAATTCTGCGTTGGGGTTAAACGATAGAAACTTAATCAAATTGTTTGATGTCATTTGATCTCTGTTCTTACAGCATTAACAAAATGTGAAATCCATATTTGATACGGGCACAGCTTGAAGCAGCAAACTAGCAAAGTAATCCGACGGTGGAGATGTCGAGCAGTGGGTTGCCTATCCCGAACATAATTTCCTCGGACACCATCACAGCGAGAGAGAGAGTTAAAGCTTAAGAAACAGTAGCAATTATAAAGATGGAGAAATCAGATCAGATCTCTGGATATTGGTAATGGGAAGGAACCAAACGTGTATGCTTCCAAGTGGCTATGACTTTAGTGCTGCAGTGTTGTTGGGTTTTTCCAGATTTTGCAGATTCACGGTAGAGGTATGAAAATTTGAAAGAGAACCGACATAGTTTTTGTGTTGATTCCCACAGACGGCGCCAAATGTTGATGCACAAAACCGGAGGGGTCTTGGAACAACGTAAATCCGCCTGTGAATCTGCAAGAAAGTAAATAACACAAGATGTATCATGGTTCACCCCAATGTTTGGGTTACGTCCACACTGATATTGTATTTCTCTGAGAGGATTGTGAGGGAGAAAGTGAGAGCTTCTGAGGGTGAGAAAGCTTTTCCCATGGCCTAAGAATTGGCCTTTCTTAATTAGGAGAGTGAGGGGTCCTTTTATAGAATAAGGGCTCCTCACTTATTACATATTTACTCCTCAATTTATTACATAATTACATTTGAGTCCCCCGAGTATTTATACGAGGTCTAAATACGGAGGCCCTAAGTATGGTATAAACAAAGATCATGTGACTATGCTTCTAGATACTCCCTTTGAGTTAGACATAACTTCTAAATAAGATACCTATAAGCGATTCTCAGATAATTTAGGCATACCGATTCTTTGGACAAGCTTCTGAAATGTAGACTTGGGCAACGACTTGGTAAAGAGATCGGTCAAGTTATCTTGGGAACGAATTTGCTTGACTTCAATGTTCTGATGCTCCTGCTACTGGTGTGAGTAAAAGAACTTTGGCACTATATGCTTGGTGTTGTCTCCCTTGATGTATCCCTTCTTCAGCTGCTCGATACATGTTGCATTGTCTTCAAAGATTGTTGTAGAAAGGTCAACGACTAATGTAAGACCACTAGTGCTTCGAATATGTTCCATAGCTTCTCTCAACCAAAAGCACTCACGCGATGCTTCATGTAGGGCGAGAATCTCAGCATGGTTAGACGAAGTCGTAACTAGCGTTTGCTTGGTAAACCTCCAAGATATAGCGGTGTCTCCAACGGTAAAAACATAACCCGTTTGAGAATGTGCTTTATGTGGGTCAGACAGATATCCAGCATCTGCATAACCAACAAGGCAAGAATCAATCTGAAGGCCATAAGAGGTGGCAACACTTGGAGATTCACTGGTATAGAACAAGCCCAAATCCGTAGTACCTTTGAGGTAGCGGAAAATGTCTTTAACACCATTCCAGTGCCTGCGTATGGGCGCATTGCTGTATCTAGCCAATAGATTCACAGCGAAGGAGATGTCGGGTCTAGTGCATTGAGCCAAGTACAATAAAGCCCTAATTGCACTTAGGTAAGGAACTTCGGGTTCCAAAATCTCTTCCTCATCCTCCTTTGGACGGAAGGGATCTCGTTTAGCATTTAGAGTCCGAACGACCATAGGTATACTCGAAGGCTTCGCTTATCCTCATTAAAACGTTGCAACACCTTAGTTTGATTGATGTACTAGGATTCCATCTAAACAATGCTCGATCTCCAGGCCGAGACAGTATCGAGTTTTCCCAAGATCCTTCATCTCAAATTCCGATTTCAAGTGTGTAGCAATTTCCTCAAGCTCTGAGGGAGTCCCAATGAGGTTCATGTCATCGGCATAAACTGCAACGATTGCAAATCTGGAATGTGATTTCTTTATGAACACGCATAGGCATAGTTCGTTGTTCACATAACCCTAACTTGTCAAATATTCACTCAGACGGTTATACCACATCCGCCCAGATTGTTTTAATTCGTAGAGTGACCTCCTCAACCTAATTGAGAGAATGTTCCGTGGTCTAGAACTATTTAAGCCAGTCAATGGAAGTCCTTCTGGAACTTTCATATAAATTTCCGTATCTAGATACCCATAGAGATACACGGTTACCACGTCCATAAGCTGAATATTCAGTTTTTCGAAAACTACCAAACTGATTAGGTAGCGGAACGTTCTAATGTCCATTACGGGGGAATACATCTCCTCGTAATCAATCCCTGGGCGCTGAGAGAAGCCTTACGTTATGAGGCGTGCTTTGTATCACACTACTTCATTCTTCTTATTACGCTTCCTCATGAAAACCCACTTGTAGCCAACGGGCTTCACGCGTGGTGGTGTAGGAACTATAGGTCCAAATACCTTACGTTTCGTGAGAATCGAGTTCGAACTGGATTGCTTGTTTCCAATTTGATCAATCGGTTCTATGTCGGCATTCATCGACGGAACGTGGTTCAATGTCATCGCTAAACATGATGTCAATAGCTACTGAGTACGAGAATGCATCATCGACGATCATCTCATTCATATTCCAAACCTCATCCAATACTGTGTAGTGGACCAAAATCTCGTGATTCTCGGGAGGTCGGCATTTTTCATCTAAAGCATCACCGTAATCTAGAATAACCTCGTGCGTTGGAACGCATGATTGAGCCATGGTCAGATTCAAACTAGGGTCACTAGTTGGTGCCATTTTCCTCTTCCGGGGTTGTGAATCCTTTGAACTAAGGGGTCTGCCACGCTTCAGGGTCGGAGCAGATGATTGGCTAGCCGCCAATGTACCTTGCCGCGTGGAAGGTGCGGCCTCCCCTCATTCAGGGACGGTCTAGCATTCCCAGGCAGGTTGTTGACGTACACGGGGTACATCTATCCTTGCAAGTGTGTTTGTAGCGAGTATATGTGATCTTGTCACCTTTGCTAGATCATTAAATGCATCCGGCATGCTTTGAGCAATGCTCTGAAGATCTATAATTCGATGCACATCAGTTTCAGACTGGGTAGTGCGGGGATCTAAATGAGACATAGTGGGAGCATACCACGAGAATTCGTGGCGTTCTATGGGAACGTTAGCATGCTTATCTCCCCCTAACGACGGGAAAACTGTCTCAACAAAGTGACAATTTGTAAAACGTGCGGTAATGAGATCTCTTGTCAAGGGTTGTAAGTATTGAACAATTGATGGCGAATCATAACCGACATAGATTCCCATTTTTTTCTGAGGACCAATTTTGGTACGTAACGGCGGCACTATTGGCACATAAATGGGGCACCCAAACACCCGTAAATGAGAGACGTCAGGCTCGTATCCAGTGACCCACTGTAACGGTGAATGTGGTTGGGTAGCGGTGGGCCTCAGGCGAATCAACATAGCTGCGTGCAATATTGCATAGCCTCAGGCAGATACCAGCAGTTTGGTTCACATAACCAAAGTTTGACATTTATCCCTACTGAAATGCAATAATCGTCAAAAGTCTATGACGTAAACTTTCCAGCATTACCCAGTCGAATCGACTTGATCGGATAATCAAGGTGGTGAGCCCTTAGCTTAATGATTTGAGCTAGGAGTTTAGTAAACGCGGTGTTGCGTATGGATAACAAGCAAACATGTGACCATCTTGTCGATGCATTATCTAAATGGTCTGCATGTTGGTTGGATGGGTCCACAAATGTCCCCTTAAATCATCTGAAGAAATTTAGGGGGGTCGTGAATAATCTTTGTATATGAGGGTTGAGTATTCAACTTCCCTAAAAAACATGCTTTGCATGATGGGAGTCCAACATAGGGATGTAACTTATGCCCGTGTGAAGATTTGAGGATACAGTATATCATGTCACGTCCAAGATGTCCCAAACGATCATGCCAAAGCAACAAAGTGTCCGGGAACTCAAGCATAGGGCCGGCCACACCGTGGGCTTCTATGCCGCGAATGGTTGTGATGTACAACCCACTCGACAAGCATTCTAACTTCTCATGAATATGCTTCTGGCCATATTCATACGAAGTGATACAAAGAAATTCAGAACCATGATCTTCAGTGGTTTCAAGATGATATTGATTATCTTAAATATCTCTAAAACTCAGCAACGTTCTTCCGGAACGTGGAGAATAGAGTGTCTCCTTAATGGTCAAAATTGTACCATTAGACAACATGATGCGTGCCTTTCCGTATCCTTCAATCAGGTTGGATGATCCTGAGAGAGTTGTCAAATGAGCTTTCTTGGGTATGAAGTTAGTAAAATAGTGGCGTTCACGCAAGATGGTGTGCGTGGTTGCACTATCTGCTAGACAACTAACTTCCCCACTAGACATACCTAGAAATAAACAGATTGAATTGGTCACATGTATAAATATAAGTCCATTCATTCAATTAAGCAATTCGAGAAAATAATATCCATTCAAATAACAATCCATAATTCAAAACAAACCAAAACCAAACAAATTATTCCAAATACTTAGAAAAATTGTTCAAAATTAAACCATAAACCTAGCAAAATAGGGGGGTAGGGCCGACCACTCCTAGTGGGTTCAGCCACTAGGGGTAAACACCCTAAATACACCCTAAATACATGCCTGGAAATCCGATATCTCCAATGATGTAGTTGCATCTTCTAGATGATCCACATGTGCAAAAGTTAGACTCACGACGGGAATAATACTTGGCAATAGCCTCAGGGGAAGCTCGGCAAACGCATGACCTGTTGGAAATATGCCATGAAAGTCAATCTTTGGAAGAAACCTTTCAGGACAATAAATGGATGTATAGATGACTCTTATACATCAAATGGCAAAGATACTATTTAGGACTATCTCTATAAACGATATATGTCCTAAATAGTGAATCCATGGACAATGGATCGATTGAAGAAGTAATCTAATGAAGTTAGACTACAGAGATCTTCTTCACATAACCATCATGTCCAAAAGGTTCCTGGTCATAGGATTGTCGGAGGGATACTGACAATGCATAGACCGGTACATACTATGTTCACTTCAATTAGAAGGATGGAAGGTCTCATCCCATTCGTGTAGTGACACTAAGACAAGTATGTAGGTGCTCATTAAGGAAATGAGTTCACTGAACACAATCGAACGAGAGTACTTGCATGGAGGTCTACTCACATGTCAAGCAAGTAACTCTAATGGTTGGAATAATGTAAGTAGTCCTTTGACCTGAGGCATCATCGTTGTCTTGTGGTTAAGTACTTGATCTTTGATTATGTCAAAGTCACTCCATCCGCGGATGTCCACGGCATAGTCGGGGTTAAGCCACTTAGTCATGAAGGCAAGTGAATGCGCAACAAGGAATCTCTAATCCTCGTTAAGAGAGGATGAATACTCTAAGATATGATTCTGGAATCTTCGGCCGAAGTATCGAGCGTAATAAAGGAAAGCGTTCCTATACGACTCAATTGAATCATATAAGAAGGAATAATCATATTAGGGGTTTGACATAATATATCCATACCCTAGTGATGTGATTGAGAGTATTGTTTTAGAGAAGGATCGAATTACATTGTAATTCCAACTGAATAGGTTCTCCGAACAACTTCTGTAATTCCAACTGAATAGGTTCTCCGAACAACTTCTACATTAGCTTGGGTAGCCATGATATATGGTTAGATGTCACTCATGGCTTGTGAGTTCTTCTAGATGATTAAATGTAGTCGTCAAAGAAGAAGGTGAATTAAAAGTAAGTTTTAATTCACTAAGTGATTGGATTAAATATAATTAATTGGATTGGTGCCAATCACCTCACTGCCTTGCTAATTAGAACCTAAAACGATTGTTCACCAATACACTCTTGTAGTGAGTAATTAATGGATGATGGAAATAATTAATTGGATTAATTAAGTGTTGTGATTAATTAGAAAGTCTAAAGAAATCATAAAAGCGATATTAGATCGTTTTGGGCTTAAAGAAACGTTCGGATTTAATTGGGCCCATTGGGCCTAAACCCATTGGGCTTTTATTCAAGCATTGGATGACTTGAAATAAATAAAAGCCCAAAGCCCAAACAACACAAAGGGGCCGGCCAAAGGAGGGAGAGAAAGGTCAAATGTTGACTTGTTTCTTTTTGGCTATAAAAGGAACTTTATAGCAAATGTTTCATTAGGGTTTTTTGAAGTGTTAAAAGAACAAAAGAGAAAAAGGAAAAATATCTCTCTAACACTCAAAGGGACGGCCACCATAGGGGGATTTAGCTAATCATCTTTTCACCCCTTTGGTTATTCCTTCATCCTCTCACTACACTAGTGGGTGAGGATCTTTAGAGGTTTTCAATTTTGGAAACTTGAAGAGAACCTAGGAGCACTCATTCTAAACAAAGTGGAGGAGGCAAGGAAGGAGGCTAGGCTCAAGGAGTTCAAGGAGCAAAGGGCTTGGAGGTGGTCCATCCTTGGTCTAAGATCTAGATCAAGAGGTATAAAACTACTCCTAAACTTTGTTCTTATATATAAATTTGTTTTTGATGCATCTTACATAAACCTATGCATCTTGAAGGGGATTTGCATGACTATTGTTTTGATATTATTTGATAACATGCTTTCGTTGCTTTCGTATATAAATTTTGAATTGTATATGCATGCTAGTCACTAGAAATCCCACATGAAATCTCATGGTTTTCCCTTCATGACCAATGATCATTTGATCCACAACGATATCACATGTCCAATTCAGTAGAAGCAGCCTGAACGGGAGCTTTGCCCTTGTTCTTGAAGTTTGGGACCTTAGGGGTGAGTGGTGGACGCTGCTGGGTCACAATTCTTCCCTTAGGTGCGGCACTATATTGACCTTGGGCCCATGGTTGGGCTTGCCGCCCATTGCCACAGCCACGATGGTTCTTTTGTCGTTTATAGCTGCTATAATAGATCGTATGCTCTTCAGGCACGGCGTTCGAGCCAGTGGGTCGAGCTTGATGATTCTTCATTAAAAGCTGGTTCTGCTTTTCAGCGAGAAGTAAAACAGAGATCAAATTCGAAAAATTGGTGAATTTATATGCTCTATATTGTTGCCGCAGGACAATATTGATGGCATGGAAGGTTGAATAGGTCTTCTCCAGGAGATCTGATTCGGTTAGTTCCACTTTGCAGAATTTCAACAAAGAACGGATTCTACAAACTTCAGAGTTGTATTCATTCACGGACTTAAAGTCCTGGAAGTGAAGATGTTTTCAGTCATGTCTTGCTTCAAGCAAGTATATGTCTTTCTGGTGATCGAAACGGTCGGCCAGAGCAAGCCAGAGGGTGCGTGGCTCCTCCTCAGCGAGATACTCAGTCTGCAGTGCATCATGAATGTGTCTTTGGATAAAGATCATTGTAGTAGCCTTCTGAGCTTCGTCAACAGGTTTGTCGGCGATAAGTGTCTCAATAGTGGCTCTAATACCCTTTGCAGTGAGATGAAGCTTCACGTCTTGAATCCACTTCAGATAGTTTCTTCCAAAGACTTCTAGAGCGGAGAAATCGAGCTTGTTCAAGTTCGACATGTCCCTAAACGGAGGGAGAAAACGTGATTAGTCATATGGTAAGCCATAGACATATATCGTAGAACATACAGGTTCTTTAGACATGTAGTGGTTTAATTTATGCATGAAAATTACAGGTTTCATGTGGTATGTTTTGAATGAAAACTTCGGGTTTCAAAGACACTAAATTTGAAACTATAGGTTCAATTTAGTTTTATGAACAATTAGTTCATAATGAGAGGTTCCTGCAAGAAACACATAATGCAATATACTAACTAAGTGTAGTGGATTTGAGTTGTCTTCGGGAACTCAAGTGTGAGAGCTTCGTTACTACGAAAGTATGTGACGGTTCAAAGTATAAAAATAAATTATTGAATCGTTAATGTCCAAAAGTGATCTTCAGGT